TGTGTGTGTGTGTGTGTGTGTGTGTGTGTGTGTGTGTGTGTGTGTGTGTGTGTGTGTGTGTGTAGTAAGTATGCTGTGACTTATAGAGTCTCGTAACCGTGCAGCATTACCTTATATAGTCGTGGATGCTGTCCATATCTAGTGTATGTCTATAGTCAAGTTGAAGCTGGTTCTCGGTATATTGGCTATCTCCGGTGGACAACTCCGGGGCGGGCGGCGGCGGTGGTGGTGGTGGAGTCTCGGCCTCGGGGTTTTGGGTACGTACGATACGGTACTACGAGTCATTACCTCCGGCGTGCAGTAGTAACCACCCCGACCCAACTAAACCCTTATTCAGTCAAGCGGGAGCTGTCAGACGGGGAATGCATTGCTTATTCGAGTCTCAACCTCATTTGAAGCATGTATTGAGCATCCAGCTTATTCTTATTCTTCGAGTAGGGCACAGTACAAGTACATTCAATCCTGAGCTGAGTACGGTACAGTACAGTCCGTAGCACAAACCCACCCAGACATCCAAACAGAAGTAACTGGCAGTTGCACTTGAGTCCTCAATCCAGCTGGCAAACACCCCCCATTTCCCGTTCCCCATTCCTCATCCCCTTCTAAGATATATACTATCCCAGCAAAATCCCCATCTCAGCAGCGTCATAAACCCTAAGAAGCAGAAGCCGTGCCCGAATCCGTAAGAGAAGACCCCCCCCCCCCCCCCCCCCCAACCAAAACCCGCATCGGCACCACCTCCACCGCCCCCAGATCCCACACCCCGAGTGTCGCATACGGATCCGCCGCCACCATCACCCACACCTCGGCCTCGCCCGCGGCCCGGCCGAGATGGATGCTGCCGATGATATTCTGCTGGCCGAGTCGGTCGTCAGCGGTGTACGTGTGGGAGGAGAGCATCGGCCCGCCGAAGGTGATGCGGTGGGCGTCGATGTGGGGGCGGTTGTGCGCGAGGTGCGAGGCGTGGTGCCTTAGGCGGGTGGGCAGGGTGGTCGGGGAGGCGTGGTCTGGGAGGAGGAGGAGGTATTCGTTTAGTTTCTTGTCGTTCTCGCTTGGGGGGTTGGGGGGTGGATTTTCTTGGTTCATTCTCATCTGGGGAGGGTGGGTTTGGGTTTGGGTTGGTTGATGGGATGGGGTTTGGGGGTGAGGTGGTGGTGGTGGTGGTGGTGGTAGCAGTAGCAGTAGTAGTAGATTTCTGAATGAGGATAAGGGTGGACAGGGCCCAGTGCACTGTGAGCGCCCAGCCGCGGCCTTACTGTCCGGGTCGTCCGCGGCGGAGTCCCGCTCGTAGATCTCGAAGGGGATCTGCTGTTTTTGCAGCGCTTGGGCGAGGGTGAGGCCGACCATGCCTGCGCCGATGATGGACTTGGGGGCATGTGGGGGGATACTGGGGTGGGATGCGACGGTCTGGGGATCGGTGGAGATCCACTTGAGAAGGTAGGATTGGAGGGATGTTAGGATGGATTGGAGCATCTAGATGGCGTCTAGGGCTTGCAATTGAGATGTGACTGGATCATAACTGTGTGCTCTGGGCTATATATTTGTCGTCTCTGGAGAGTACAGTACAGTACTTCGCGATGCAGTCGATGCAGTAAGGGCAACAGCATCTACTGCCAGACTGTGCCATGCAATCTGTGAGCCGCTCGAGAACCTCGTACAAGTTAGCCTTCAGCTCCTCGGAGTAAACTTCCCGCTCGGAATAACAAGACACAAGAGAATGTCCACGGACATTCTCTTGATACAAGGATATAGTCACAACATTTGAAGATGCACATAATAGCAGAAACAAACCTTACAACATCATCTCGTATCCCAGTCAGTCCCCTCTCACAGGCCCTAAACAACTCAAACCAATCCCAATCCCAAACCAAACTACCGTACGCCAACCCAACCCAACCCTATCTATCCCCTTATCCCCCCCTCCAGCCTAACTGTACAGCAACGCAGCCCTCAACCCCCTCAATCCAATCCAACCCAATTCAACCCCAAAATGCCTCCCACCAAAAACGACTACCTAATCCGCACCCCGGTGCACCGCACCCTCACCCAGGCCGAAGCACAACGCCTCCGCCGCGACACCCGCGCCGCGCACCTGGCCTACGCGCGGCCGCTGATCGACGCCGGGGTGTTGGTATGGGGCGGTCCGTCGCTGGCCCGGCATCTTGCGGATGGTGAGGAGGAAGAGGTGACGGGCAGTGTGATGTGCGTTCGAACGGAGAGCGCGGAGGAGGTGAGGCGGTTGGTTGCGGGGGATCCGTTTGCCGAGTGTGGGTTGTGGGATGTAGGTGGTGCCGTGGTGGTGGCGATGAGGTGTGTTGTTGGTGGTGGTGGTTGTGGTGGTTGTGGTGGTGGTTGTTAGGGGTTGGATGTGTTATTTTGGAGGTGGGGGAGGTGGTGTTGTTTGGTAGTTAGTTAGGGCTAGTCTAGTTACTAGTAAGGAACCTATTCACAACTTGAAGTATACGTATACGTACAGCTACCTGCATCCCCCTACACTTTCGTCC